TTTTTGGTTTTTCGAGACAGGGTTTCTCTGTGGCTTTGGAGCCTGTCCTGGAACTAGCTCTGTAGACCAGGCTGGTCTCGAACTCACAGAGATCTGCCTGTCTCTGCCTCTCGAGTGCTGGGATTAAAGGCATGCGCCACCACCACCCGGCGACTGATTTCTCTCTTAAATGTGCTTCCCGTTCCTGTTCTTCACATAGCTAGTTACTCTCATATGCGTTATTGGACGAGAATGGTAATGCCTAAAGAACTCTATTCTGTTCTTGTGAGAAGTGCTGAGTGCCCATTGCTAAATTACAGACGTCACCTCACTCTTTCAGAAATTCAGTTTTATCACAGAAAACCCATTTTGGTTTTGTTCTTGGTCCTAGAAAGCTTCCCTAGCCCTGGCCTGTGTGCTCTAGTTTAAGGCCTGGGTTTTCTGCGATTTCACGGGAAATCACTGGTGTTTTCAAGCTCTGCCTCCGATGTGATGGGAGGTGAGGAAAGTCTGCTCAGGTCTGCCAGCTGTTTGCTCCCTGGGTGCCGTGTTCCTCCCTCCCCCAAGGATCTAACCCACCTATGCTGGGAAGTTGCCCCTGTTGTCATTTTGAATTGTTCTGATTTTTCTCCCTCATGCCCCCCACCCCCCTCTACCCTGCTTCTGACTTTGACTCTCCTTTCAGGGAGAACCTGGCCCCAAAGGAGACCCTGGTGAGAAGAGTCACTGGGTAAGCTGCATCCCTGCACCTGCCTCCCCCTGCCCTCCTCTGGCTCCTCCTGCCTCCCCCTGCCTTCCCCTGCTTACCCTGTCTCCCCCTGCCCTCCCCTGCCTCTCTCTGCCCTCTGCTGCCTCTCCTGCCCTCCCTTATCTCCCCCTGCCCTCCCCATCTTCCCCTCCTCTACCCTACCTCCTCCTGTCCTCCCATGCCCTGGGTACTCAGGAAAAAAATTCTGTCCCCAGTAGATCCTGGGATTGAGTGTGTCTAGTCACATACCTGCAGGAGCCCTGCTCCCACACCCCTCCTGGTACCCCCACTAGGCAGGACCAGCCCTCCCAGCGGCCCCCACCCGTGGTCTCTGTCTCTGTCTTCACCCACCTACCCTCTGTAGCCTTTCCAAGCCCAGGAGGCTCTGCCTGTTTCTACTAGGCAGTTTCAGTGACCCAGACTGCATCTCCACTTCCAGGGTCCCCCCCCCCCGCCCCCCGTCAAAGGTTTTGGCTTTGTCCTGTTGTCTACGGAAGGAAGGGGAAAGAGAAGACAGAATACACCCAAACAGAAAAGGACCTTAGGAAAGTCAGGAAACAAAAAAGGGAAGCACAGGGGACAAAGGATTCACGGAACAAAGGATGGGGACCTAGAAACCAACACACACATAGAGACTCTAGGAAGCATGGGAAGGGAAACCTTGAAACCATTGTATATGTGTTTGGCATAGTTAATGAGGTCATGAGACCTAACTGTTGTGCCCAAAAGATCTGTAATAGGTACTATCACATACTTCAAGCAGTCCCCAAGGGAAACCTAGAAATTGTCATATGCACAGAGAACCGTGGAAAATGAGGTGAGGCAGATCTAGACACTACCAGCTACCAAGCAAACTGTGAACAATAGAAAGGGAGGCCTAGAAACTGTCACATGCCTAGCAGGGATTGAGCAATGGGAAGAGAGACCCAGAAACTTACAATTTACACACTCAAAAATCTTATGATGCACGTGAGGTCCCGGGAACCTTCAAGATCAGTGGAGATAACTAATGAACAGATTTGGGGCCCAAGAGTCTACTCTGCTAAAGACGCATGAGCCTAGAACGAATCATGCCCTGATGCACAACCTGGCAGCCACTGCCGGCACGGGAGACATTTGGAAAATAGGCAGGGTCGAGTAAGCCAGCCTGGGTACTCTTTAGGAGGTGTCATTGCGCCTTCCTGTCGTTCCTGAGGGTGTGGCGTCTTCTCTGTTTGTGGTCATGGAGTCAGTGATGGATACAGCCGTGTAGTCCTCATCCTGCACGAGCTTGCCTCCGTGTAGCCCATGACTTGTGGGGGCCCTGCTACCTCTCCAAGATGCTTGCTTCCCCCCTCTCCACCCTCACTCTCCCATGTGAGCAACCTCTGCCTCCCGTCACTCTCCCAGAGACCCTGGGTGAGAAAACGGGCTTTTTTCACCCATCCCGGAAGATACGGGGAAAATCCAGGTCACAGCAGAGCCAGGCTGAGCTATCTCTGCATGGGAACCTTGGGCCACCCCAGGTGAGACCTTGAACCTAGGACCACCTATGGGAAGAATTCCAAGAGGTAGCAGGACCCCTACCTGCCCGCCTTCCTTCTTTTACCCTCTGCACTTCCTTTGCTTGCTGCCTGGGAGAGGCTTTGCTGGGCTGCAGATGCATGAGGCTTCTGGGCTGAGGGACCAGCTCTGTTGGAGGGAGGTAGGGATTCTAGTACAGTGGAAATAGCCTGTGGACACTCTACAGATACACTGCACCTACCAGCGCCCCCTAGGGGTAGTGCAGCTTTCTGAACTGCCTGCCAAGTTTAGCTGTGACTCAGCAGTGTCACCAGGTGGTCACAGTCGTGTACTGCAAGAGCTGAGTGACTGGCCTGAGTTACTCTACCTAGTTAAGAGGGAAGCCCTTGTTCAGACAGGGAGGGAAACTGAGGCCCGGCTCTTCAGAGCAAACTGATGGCAAACTGGAGCCAGAACTGAAACAGGCTGAGACATCCAAATCTCCCGAGGGGGCCTGGGAACCCACTGCTTCCCGAAACTTCTCTTCTGTATGCCAAGCTCAGGGCTGGGCAACGCAAAACGATACTTTGCAGATTCTGTCCCCAGGAGAAGTCACCATGAGCCGGGGTCACCAGTCACAGGACAAAAGGAATTCAGCTGTGTTTGGGACTATAGTGTATTGGCGATGAAGGGAACATAACCAGTCACAGGGTAGCTGAGAAGTAGGGGCAGTCTGTACAAAGGGCCTGGGGTCAGAGTGAGCCTGGGATGTCTGCAGAGTGGCAGTTTGACAGGCAGCAAGTGACAGAGGCTAGAGGCTTTCCAAAACTAGGAGGCCACATTAAAGAATTCAAACCTTGGTGGCCACTGGGACATTGTTTTAGTATTTCTGAACGGGGACCCAGGCATGGTGGCTCACATTTGTAATCCCAGCATTCAGATGACTGAGGCAGGAGGATGGCTACAAGGTGAACCTGGGCTACAGAGTGAGATACTCAAGGATCTCAAAAAAAATCATTTTTTAAAAAAAAAATTAAAGAATGAGAGGGAATGGTATGGTCAGGTTTTTGTTTGCAAAGTATGTCTCTGGATGCCGGGTAGAGAATGACTGGAGCCAGAAAAGGACTCAAGAAGGCTGTGGGAAGCCTGTTCAGAGACCAGTGGGAGCATGGACAGGCAGGAAGGCAGTGTGTGTGTGTGTGTGTGTTGTGCCTGTGTGTATGCAAGTGTGTGGTTGTAAGCTGGGCAGTTGTGGTGCACACCTTTAATCCTAGCACTTGGGACACAGAGGCAGGAGGTGGATCTCAGTGAGTTCGAGGCCAGCCTGTTCTACAAGTGAGTTCCAGGACAGCCAGGACTGTTACACAGAGAAACTTTGTCTCAAAAAACAAATAAAAAAAGTGTGTGGTTTTGTGCAGTGTGTGTTGTCCCAGTGTATATACAAATGCGTGCAGTGTGTGTGTGTTGTGTCAGTGTGTATACGTGTGTGATTGTGTTGCAGTGTTTGTGTTGTGCCTGTGTGTATACAAGTGTGTGGTTGTGTGTGTTGTGCCAGTGTGTATACAAGTGTGTGATTGTGTGTGTTGTCCCAGTGTGTATACAAGTGTGTGGTTGTGTGTGATTGTGTGTGTTGTGCTTGTGTGTATACAAGTGTGTGATTGTGTTGCAGTGTTTGTGTTGTGCCTGTGTGTATACAAGTGTGTGATTGTGTGCACATGTATCATTCTCTGCCCTATTCCCTTGTGAATGGACCTGGGAGCTCACTATTTTTCAGCGAGGCTAGCAGCCAGCAACCTCCCTTTCTCTGTACCTGCCCAGCACTGGGGTTATGGGCATTGGGTGGCTTTTTACATGAATTCTGGGGCTCTAATTCAGGTCCTCGCTATTGGGGAGTGCTCTTACCTTTGAACCATCTCCCCAGCCCCAGGATCATCCATTTTCGCATCCTGCTCCATGATACCCAAAGAGGGATTACTCTGCATTTGTGACCTGTAGTGACCCCAGTACCCCAGGCTGGAATGGCAGTTCAGTGACCCATGAGTAGCTCAATCTTTATGATATTAACAGGACAGCTGGAGCATAAGGAATGCCCCAGGGAATGAACAAGCTCCTAATGGATGTGTTGGGGGTTCTCTTAGTTGCTTCGATGTTCTTATGGGGAACCATTGCTTCAATGGGTTAGATGGTGAGCCAGGTGTCGGGGCTCATGTCTGGAGTTTCAGCTCATGGATGTTCGAAGCAGAACTGTTGTGAGTTTGAAGCTAACCTGGCCTACAGAGGGATATATCTCAAAACAGAAGGGGAGGAGGGAGGAGGAACTGGAGAGATAGCAAGCTCTGTGGGGAACAGAGTTTGAATTCCCAGGATTCACATAAATGCCAGGTGGGCTTGAAAGCCCACCCTTAAATCCAAAGCTTAGAAGACAGAAGCAGGATTACCAGAGCAAACTGTGGGTTCAGTTGAGAGAGCCTGCCTCAATAAATAGATAGAAAAAACTCTGATGTCCACTTCCAGCCTGCAGACACATGCACATGCATGCATGCACACAAATGTGAGCATCAGTGTACAAATGCATACACACATCACATAAAAAGGGGTGGAGAAGATGGCTAACTGGGTAAGAGCACTCGCTGCACAAACAGAAGGACCTAATCCCAATCCCTAGCACTACACAGGAGTCAGGCATGGCACATATGCCTGTAACCCTAGCATAGTGAACTGGAAACAGGTAGAGCCCGAAGATCAGCCAGACTAGCTGAGACAGCACACATTAGGTTCACCTTAAGACCCTATCTCAGGCTGGAGAGACGGCTCAGTGGTTAAGAGCACTGCCTGAGCCAGGCAGTGGTGGCGCACGCCTTTAATCACAGCGCTCGGGAGTCAGAGGCAGGCGGATCTCTGTGAGTTCGAGACCAGCCTGGTCTACAAGAGCTAGTTCCAGGACAGGCTCCAAAACCACAGAGAAACCCTGTCTCGAAAAAACAAACAAACAAACAAACAAAAAAAGTGAAGAGCACTGCCTGCTCCTCCAAAGGTCCTGAGTTCAATTCCCAGCAACCACATGGTGGATGACAAACATCAGTAATGAGATCTGCCCTCTTCTGGCCTGCAAGCATACACACAGGCAGAACATACATACATACATACATACATACATACATACATACATAAAACAATCAAAGCAAATATTTTTTTAAAAGACTCTATCTCAAAGATTAATGTAGAAAGCAAAATAAGAGGAAGGGGCCTGCAAGGTGGCTCTGCTAGGGAAGATGCTTCCCACAAGGCTGAGGGCTGAGTCCAGTCTCCAGGACTCGCGTGATGGGAAGGAAGAACCAATTCGTTTAATTTGTTCTCTGTTGTCCGCACACATGCTGTGACCACAAATTGGCCTATGACCTCAACATGTACACTGTGGCACAATGAGGCCTGCACACACACACACACACACACACACACACACACTAAATGTAATAAAAATCTTACATATAATGGAGAACAAAGAGGAAGACATTCTCCTCTGGCCTCTGTATAAGTCCTCATGGGCACACGTGTGTGCACACCACACACACACACACACACACACACACACACACACACGGAGATGTGTGCATACTAAGCATCCCTTCACCTTTCCTATCCTAAATGCCGAGAGGCTCTTCTAGATGCTGTCAGGCTTGGGATGGTTTGCCTCACCATCCTGGTGCTCTGTTGGAAAACACTCAATTTTGGAAGTTGTTTGGGGTGGGGGGAACGTGAAGTGAAGACCATGGACCCAGTGCTAGGGAAGGAGAGAATAAACTGGGAGGAAGTCCGAGAGAGCTCTCTGAATGAGCCTCTTCTTTGGGGGAGTGGAGAGCCCTGGGGCTGGGGGGCCTTAGAGAAGAAGCTTGGTGGACCCACTGCCACACCCCTGGGAACACACTGATGCCTTCAGCTGCTGCTGGGAGGGGCTGGGCTGCAGGGTCTCCCCAAGGTGTATCAGAATGCGGGACTGGTGCTGGCAGAGAGAATGTGGGGCCGGTCTCCTGAAGGGGACGGAGCTAGGGCCTCAGCTCAGACTCATTTTAAGCAGCAATGCTATTCAAGCCTTTTGATTTTCACTTACTACCCATTCTACTGGGGACAGAATCACTAGCTTGCTCTCCCTGATAGAGTTCGTTAGGGTGAGACGGCGTGCAAAAAGTCAATCTGAAGACTATGAGTAAAGAGAAAGATGTTTAAAAATTAAGAATTTAAAATGGGAAAAAATAGAGCGAGAGGAGAGAGGAGGGGGAAGGAGAGAGCAGAGCGCCCCCCAGCGTACGTCACAGGAACTGTGCAGAGGACAGGCTGGCTCCCCAGGGCCTTGGAACAAATGGATGGCAGCCTGTGGGGCAAGCAGAGGAGTTGCCCTCCAGAGTGACACAATCTGCAGCCAGTTAGGATCAAGTGGAACTTTCTGAGGGGGTCATCAGGGGTCGCTTTCTCCTGCCTTGCCTCCCTCCTTTCCCTCTCTGTCTTGTTTGGCTGTCCGTGGGTCCTGGGCTGTGGCAGGTGGTACAGGGCTACAGGTGCTTGTCCCGATTGGGGCAGGGGCCACTGGCAGGCTTTGTGGGGTCCCCTCCCAACCCTCCATCACGGCTGCATCTGTCTCTTTCTCCACAGGGGGAGGGGTTGCACCAACTACGCGAGGCTTTGAAGATTTTAGCTGAGAGGGTTTTAATCTTGGAAACAATGATTGGGCTTTATGGTGAGTAGAGACAGACAGACGGCCGGCCAGCCCAGCCCCTGCTTACCAGCCTCCCCAAACCGTCCTGGGGTGTAACTGGCCTGAGTCCAGTTCTGAAGCTGAAGAAGCATAGGCTACAGAGGCTACCCAACCCTTCCCTGCTCTACAGGGGAAGGTCCTGCACCTGGACCCATCCGTGTGCCTCTCTCTAGACAGTGTGGGTGATATAGTTACAGGACTTCAGGAATGTGGAGACAGCGGAGGATGGGATTTGCAAGGAGTTATGGGCAATGAAACCAGATTCCTAAACCAAGTGTTGTGGCATATGGTTTTGATCCCAGCACTTGAGAGTCAGAGCCAGGCGGATCTCTGTGAGTTCAAGGCCAGCCTGGTCTACAAAGTGAGTTCCAAGACAGCCGGGGCCATTACAGAGAAACCCTGTCTCAGGAAGAAAGGAAAGAAGGGAGGGAGGGCGGGAGGGAAAGAGAGAAAAAAGAAAACCAGACTTCTGATCAGTGAGGCATTGAGGTTAACAAGCAAACTCTAGCCATACTGGGGTCATGGGTCACACACAGTCAGAGCCCAAGCCCACAGGATTATGGATCAAGGTTGTAAACCACTTGGGCTTCAACTCTAGACAAGTTGTGAGCAATGCAGCTAGATTCTAAAAGTGCAGGGAACTGTGGGTGACAGAATCAGACTCAGGACCCAGAGAACTCTGGGTTATAGACCACTTGCCAGTTCTGACCAGTTTCCCCCATAAACTTGTAGAGACTTTCACAGGACCTACCTTCCTGGCCCCTGCATCCCTCCCACAGTTGCCACTGTAGTCCTAGTGTGTCCTGAAGCTTCCTGCCAGGGCTCAAGGGAGCCAGATCCTTAGCCTGACATTCACCCTCCAAGTTCCTGTTCACCTGGCTACCTGAGGAGCTAGGCACGCCCTCTCCTCACTTCCTATGGGTACAATGAGGTTTGATGGACACTGGTCCAGACCCCTTCCCTGAAGCCCATCAGTCTCTCTCTGCGTCCCCCACCACTGGGCTCCCAGCCCGGCCCTTAGAGGCCACACTCGGCACCGTCTGCTCTTCTCAATCTCCCATCAGGCTCCTAGTTTACAGAGCTTCCTGCAGCAGCAGGCCCAGCTGGAGCTCCTGGCCAGACGGGTCACCCTGCTGGAAGCCATCATCTGGCCAGGTAATGGCAGGGTGGGCAGGCAGGGGCAAACCCTCCCAGGAAGGGCCTGGGGCAGGCTCGGGCATGATGCCTCCCGGTGCTTGGTCTGGGCCAGAAGACATTGCTCCTTCCTTTCATCAGGGAAATAGAACCTGGCACAGTGAACCAGCTTTCGTGTTCTGGCAGCCACCTATCGGCACGGGCTCCAACATAACCAAACAATGTAGCCCTGCCCTGGCGTAGCTTAGGGTGGGGGTGGGGGCTGGCACCGGTAGCAAAAACCAAGAAGAGGTAAGTGACAGAGTAGTGAGCACAGATATGCCTCTGGCCTGCTGGGCTCCAAGGTAGAGCACTTACCTCGCGTGTACAAGTCCTTAGTCAGTTGTCACCATGAGGGGACAGTCCAGGAGGGCTTCCTGGAGGTTATATCTCAGTGGAGCCCAAAAAGGCAAGGATCATAGGTGAGTGACCAAGCAGAGGAGAATCAGAGGTTAAGACGTCTACAAAGTTTTTTCCCTCGAGGTTTCTGAGAGGTAAAGAGGAACACCGAGCAGAGCTGTACTGGGAAGGTTCTCTGGTTCAGGCAGCCTGAGAGGCAGTTAGGCTTCTGACTGGGGGCAGGAGCAGTCCCCCCACCCCGGCACCTGGCTCCTGGGGTGGGGTGAAGCTTTGGTGTAGGAATACGGGGCTGGCCCTTCACAGGAATGTTTGCCCACCGAGAGTCCCCACCCACTGGCTGTCCTTTGCCCCTTCCAGTCACTGCCCTGTCTCACAGCCCATATGCACATCAGTGCCCAGAGGCCTCCATATTATGTCCAACCTCCCCTCTTAAAAAAACCTTAAGTGTGAAGAAGGAGGGTCTGGTCGGGGCTAAAACCAGTCCTTTGGTCAGCAAAACCAGGAAGCACCTACTGGTGCTAGGCCTGGACGGACGGACACTGGACCCTGCAGAGTAGCTGGGCTCTGGGGAGCTGTCCATCAGTCACTTTAGACACTCAGAGGGAGTACCCAAGGATTGGGCCCTTCTTGCTAGACGTTGGTGACTTCTTGGAAGAGGGGACCGTGTGGGGGGTCATAGAAGATACGTGGTTGTATCTGGTGGAGGTGAGGGACAGCTGGCAGGAAGTCTGATGTGACAAGATCTGGAGGTTGGAGTGTATGTCCACGCCAAGAATGGTGGCTACGTGCCTAAGATCCCAGCACTGGAAGGCTGAGACAGGAGGATAGCAAATTTGAGGCCGACCTGGGCTACTGAGCAAAACTTTGTCAGGTTTTGCTTGACACGGTCCATTTCTAATCCCCACCGTTAGGCGTGTGGCTTCTCTGACCTCTAGAAACATCAGGGACTATCTGCCGCACCTCCTTTGGCCTCAGCAGCCTTGATGAGACTTGATGGAGACATAGCAAGCCCCTCCCCTGAAGCCTCTTGGCACCTGTCCTCCATCCCTCATTGCCTCCAAATGACCTGAGGGACCATTTGGAGCAAAGACCCAAGTTCCAGATTCTCAGCACATTTCCAGGTGCCCCTCCTCTCAGCGTGGTGCAGCAGTAGAAGGGACAGCTGGATAGCGTAGAGGAGCTGAATAGGGACGCGGTGACCCCGTCCTTAGCTGGCTAAGCTCTTGGTAGCCCCTGGAGGATGTACAAGGCACCTGGGAAAAGCCAGGCCCCATTAGTGGCCCACCCCTAAGCAGCGCCTTCTGTAGGAAGTGTCATCATCGAGCTTCCCACTGTCTGTCCTAGGAACAAGGAAAGGCCTGGCCAAGTCCCCATCCCGAGGCTCTTCCCCACCAGAAAAACCACCTACCCTGACCTTCTCCCTGGCTTTAGGGGCTACCAAAGGATATGCATGGACTTCCTGGACAAGAGAGCACCCTCTGGGGTTTTGAAGGATGTTAGTTTCCTTGGGGGGGGGCAAGCATGCTGTTTCATGCTTGGGGTTCAGCTTATATGAAAATTGGGGCTTATCTCACCACAACTCCCTTGGTAACTGACTTCAGGCTTTGTTGGTGCCGTCTAGGGCCTGAGTTATCTGAAAATGTCCCTGGTTTTAGAAATCAGACAGCTGTGGTCCTGATGGGGTCTGGTTTCCCTGAGGCTGCTCCGAGGCAAAGCCTGACTCTACTAAGCCCTTCCTCCAAATGGTGCTATAATCCAAGGAAAGAGGAAGTTTCTTCTCTGGTTTGGTTTCCTTGCAATGAAGTTTGGATGATGCAGAATCCACCTTCACTCCAAATCAATCCAAACTGATTACTTGGGGAGCATTATTCATATGCCAAGCATGTAAAAGTGGTGAGCCCAGCCATCCCCATTAGACAAACCAGGCATCAGATGGCTGGGGACGCAGAGGTTGTGGGGAGGTACTAACCAGCCTTCAGTACCCTTATTTCCCACAGCTCCATCTCTAGGATGCCAGGGTACCCTGCTACCTCCCAGGGCACAAAGTGGGTTCATGAATGTGAATGCACCCCCTAACATAGCTTTTCTCTTTATTCCCTCCGGCAGAACCAGAGCTGGGATCCGGGGTAGGCCCTGATGGCACGGGTACCCCCAGCCTCCTTCGAGGCAAGAGGGGAGGACACCCAACCAACTACCAGATCGTGACCCCCAGGAGACACGACAGGAGGAGCTGAGGATGGTGGTGGCTCTTCAGGGTTCCACACCAGGCTTCCTCCCCTAGCCTGGACTTAGCCAGCTGCCTCCAGAGACCGCCAGTTCCTATTTATTAATATCCTCAGGGACCCCTGTGCCATCTTGGCCATAGGGATAGGCAGGCAGGTCTCAGTGATGTCAGCCTGTACATGACAGACGAAGCAGGGACTGGGCCCTGAGAGGAAGTCTACTCAAGACGTCAGACCTATTTCCCCCTGTGGAATAGGGTGAAAAGAGGAGTGGGTGGAGGTACAAGGCTTCCAGTCTTCTAAAGTAGGGACCTGGGACTCTGCCTGGCTCTGTAGACATGCATGGATCGAGGCAGAAGTCTCCGTTCCCCTCCTTAAGACTTTGGGGAGTCCTGTTTTCTGGTGCTGAGTTCCCACCTGAATCCAGGCTGCTTAATCCCCAACTGAATGGTTGGTGCTCCTTAAATCAGTTCTACCCAACCCCACTCCCCAGTGTTCCATGTGGGGATGGGATGTATAGAAAGGACTCCCACTCCGAGCATCTGCTGCAGATGCCATGGATTGCTATGTACTGGACAATAAACGCCCCTGCCTGACCCTACCTAGTTTGGTCTCTATATGCTGCAGCTAGAGGGTCCTCCTAGGCTGAGGATACTGGGGCAGGAGGCCTGTGGGCCTAGACACAAGTCACCCTCCTGTCACCAGCCACCCATTCACTCCTTCTCCACTCATTCCTTCATCCTCCCCATGCCAACACAGAAGAACCAGACACAACTGCCACTCAGAAGGCCAGGTTGGAAACATCAGCTTTTATTCTCAGAAAGTATTAGAACATGCTGGGACCCACTCCTGCCCTCAGGGATGCCCTCAGCAGACTGGGCAAGGACTCAGGTCAGGCCAAAGATTCTGCTCTTTTCCTAGATTATGAGGGTCCAGTGCCCTTGCAGTGGGCAGGACCACTCCTCCCCTCGATTGCTACGGCCTCAGTTTCTACCAGCCCTTCAACCAGCAGTGACACCGCACCCTCCACACGCCCTGTAGCTGCCAAGGCCACTGCGGCCTGCTCAGTGGGGAATCCCATGTGCTCTAGCTGCTGCAGCCTGTGAGGTGGGGACAAAGAGGAAATGTCAGGGCATGCATGGCTCCCACATCAGGATGACACACCCCTGCCCACCCTGCCTTACCGTAGAGAAGACCCAGAGGACTTGGGCAACCATGTCAAGCTCTGAGAACCCTGAGCTGACGCATCAAGAAGTGAAGCCTGGATCCCTTCCTGTAGCATTTGCTCATCTAGGGCTGCCCACATCGGGGTTCCTGGGGCAAAGCTGGACGCAGCCCACTTCAGGCTCCTCTCGGAGTCCTTCCATGCCGGCTGCACGGGTCCCACGCCTAGTGGAAGCTGGGCAGAACCATCACTGTGAGACCAGGAGCTTGGGGAGGCAAGGTAAGGAGGTCCAGGGGTAGCAGGCCTGTAGGGACAGAGGCGGATGGCCTGGGCTGCCAGCCACTGTCACAACTTCCACTACCCAATACGGAGCCCCTGGCATCGCCCTCACCTCACTACAGCAGGATAAGTGACAGGCAGTTCAGTCAGATTGCCTGGGGTGGGAAAGAGCCTCAGTGGCCACCACTGGGCCAGAGTCCTGCAAAGGACACTGTCCTGTAACACCTGCAATCTCCGCTCGGAGAGCTCCAGCCACCGGAAGGCCCCAGCAGCGTCTGCCTGCCCAGGGCAGGGCGGCAGGTCAAGGAAAATCAAACTGAACTGGGGAGAGGAGAGTGTGCTGGGCATTCCCATGCGACTCCCCTTGCTGTATCCCCCAGGACCACATGAGCAGCTGAAGCTGAGAACAAAAGGAAACTGCCTACCTGAAACTACTCAGCCGGGAAGTGCCTTCCCAAAACCCTATTTTCCACTTTCTTGGCTACTGCGTAACCCTGTGTACCTGAGATAGGTCCTCCTACTGTCAGCCAGACTTAAGTAGCTGGTGTCTGGATTCTGAAATGGTTCCCTGTGACTGCCTGAAGGGTTATATGATCACCACCAAAAATAGTAGCTATTTTCCCATATTTTGGGAGCAAAGCTTATGTCTAAGATACCTGTACTATGAGCCCTAAGTTGGCCCTCTGTTCCCAGAGTCCCACACTCACTCCCACCCTAAGCCTTCCTCTTTGCTAATCTTTGCTTTGATGCCACCTTCACACAAGATCCAGGTTAGTGACTTCCAGGTCCCTTCAGCTCTCCCAAGCATCCCATGGGGTCCTTTGATTGTAACCAACACCTCTTCTTGGCCATGAGTCCTGTCCCCAGCCCAAAGCATGGCACAGATGTGCCAGGAGCAGGTGTTCACCTGACATTGAACTCCTTTACACCGTTTCTTTCCAAGGCACCCCGGAGGCCCGGCCACAGGTCCACATGGTCCCTGGGCTCAGGCAAAGGATACAGGCTAGGCCAGCAAGAAGGCCACAGAGGAGCTGCAGGAAGGGCGGCTCAGAGCTGAGCAGCAGGGTCAGGGCCAGCAGTAGCCATGGGAGCAGCCATGGTGGCAGTGTCCCCTGACGCCATCCAGGGTAGTAACTCTGCCCTGCCAGCATGGCCAGATGAACAGGCATATATCCACAGCCTCCGGCTGCATTGGACACCCCGAGGCTTGCCAGCAGCACAGCCAGCAGCCCAGCAGCCAGGGCAAGCAGGGCGGAGTTGTGCAGGAAGCGCAGAGTGCCTAGACGGCACTCCTGCCACCAGCCCAGAGTGGGCAGGAGCAGCAGGCTCAGGAGCAGGCCCGGCAGTGCGGTGTGGCCCAGAGCATGGGTCAGAAGCCGGTGCACTGGGAATGAGAAGGGTGCCAGGTTAGAGGGCTGGATTAGCCATTGCTAGGGCGGCCTGGTAGGCCAGTCTCCCCCACCCAGAAGCCAGTAGATGGGACCAGAGGCTTCTCAACACCACAGCTACTCTCTAGGTATACTGAAGGGAACTAACACACAGTCTTCTCACTCGCCACCAGCTACCAAGTGGTGCTACGCCCCAGGCACAGTGAAGCTGTCTGTCAGTTACTGAATCTTTTTTTTGCATCTGGTTAATAGCACAAGTTCTAATGAAAACTGCCTGCCAAAACCTTTCACTCCCACAGAGCTGCAAGACCTTAGAAAAATCACTTAACCTCTCTGAACATCATTTGGGTTCCTCAAATGTAAACTGGAGGCTTTGTGGGAAGTACGTGTTTGGCAGAAATTTAACTTATTTCCAGGGAAAGCTGTCAGAAAAGGACACTATCAGAACTCCCACCCACAACTTCCCACCTCGCCCTCTGTACAGGATTCTCTGCCCTTCTTCTCAACTATGGACTAACTGGGCATGTCTGTAAGCTAACCTGCCCTGCGACGCTGTGTCCTATTCTTGTGACCATCACGAGCTGCACATTGATTCCACTAAGTGGCTTTCAGGCCCTAGAGTCTCTAGCTTTCAAGGACCATGCAGCTGGTCCTCACCCTGCCACGGGTCCAGCAGCAGCTCCGGAGCCAATGTGAGGTTGGGGCCAGCCCCCAAAAACCACAGGCAGCTCATCAGGAGCATCAGGACTGAGGAGGCAAGGGGCAATGCCCGGGACAGAGAGCCAGGAGAGTCCCAGACATGCATAGTTTGGTTGATGGTGGTCAAAGGTGGTCCTGAGGCTGTACACTGGGAATAAACAAAAACAGTAACAAATCATCCTTGTTGCTTTTATCTGACTCCCTCCCAACTACTTTACCAATGGCCCCATTATACAGAGGCAGAAACTAAACCAGCAGAGGCAGGTCCAATAGCTTGGCCTGTGTGCTTATCAAGCCCAACCTGTGTGCTTATCAGCCACGTTTCTATCCTACCTGCCCACAGGCCTGGGGTGGCCATGGGCCATGCTTAAAGTCCTGATGAGGCCAGTGTGGTAGTGCACACCTGTAATCTTAGCATTCAGGAGGTGGAGGCAGGAGGTTCAGGAGACCAAGGCCAGTAGAGATGCAGACCAGCAGGAGAGTGCTTACCTAGCATACATGGGCACCTGGATTTGCTCCCCAAGTGCTGTAAAAATAAAAGAAACATTTAGATCTTGGCTGCATATGGAGTTGAAAAACCAGCCTGGGTGACATGAGAGTCTGGTGGGCCCTGAAGGTGTCTTAGTGGAAGATACAAGACCAGAAAAGTTGGACTCTGCCCCCCCACCCCCCCTTCTAGTGTTCCATGCCTCAGGGAGTCCGGATAGCCTTGGGTACCCTTGAACAAGAGGCCTTATGAGACCCACCAATGGGTCAAGCAGCTTGGGGTTGAAGTGGGACTACAAGAGTCCACATTCCAAGCCTTACAAAGTGGCTCATAACTGTGGCACTGTTCTCTCTCCAGCCCTGGTGTCTGCTCCAGCCTTCTGCTGTGTGTCTGTGGGCAAGTTTCCCAGTCTGTGAAATGGTGATTAAGACACCTTTTGCTGCCGGGTAGTAGTGGTGCATGCCTTTGATCCCAACACTCAGGAGGCAGAGACAGGCAGATCTCTGTGAATTAGAGGTCAGCCAAAAGAAAAAAAAAACAACAAACAAACAAACAAAAAACTCAACACATTTTGCTTACAGCATCATAAGAGAAAAGACTGGAGGCCCACAGTTTTTTTTCTTTTTTTTCTGAGACGGGTTTCTCTGTACCTTTGGAGCCTGTCCTGGAACTAGCTCTTGTAGACCAGCATGGCCTGGTCTCACAGAGATCCGCCTGCCTCTGCCTCTACCTCCCAAGTGCTGGGATTAAAGGCGACACCTGGCTCGGCTTTTTTTTTTTTTTTTTTAATTTTGCTTGTTTGGGGGCTGGGGAGATGGCTGGGAGGTTAAGATCACTGGCTGCTCTTCCAGAGGCCTAGGGTTCAATTCCCAGCAACCACATGGTAGCTCACAACCATCTGTAATGAGATCTGGTGCCCTGTTCTGGCACGTAAGCATACATCCCAGAATACTATATACATAATAAATATTTTTAAAAAAAGTTTTGCTTTAAAAAAAATCTCAAGCCAGGCGGTGGTGGCGCACGCCTTTAATCCCAGCACTTGGGAGGCAGTGGCAGGCGGATCTCTGAGTTCGAGACCAGCCTGGTCTACAAGAGCTAGTTCCAGGACAGGCTCCAAAACCACAGAGAAACCCTGTCTCGAAAAACCAAAAAAAAAAAAAAAAAAAAAAAAAAAATCTCAACATGGAGCCCAAGCTAGCCTGTGATGTGAGATTCTCCTGTGTCTTCTTGGGCTTTTGAATACTGGATCATCAATCTGCACCATTGCACCTAGTTTGGCCCCCAGCTCTTTCCCAATAAACCCAGGCACCACCTAATTACTATGGAAGGCAGACAGCTTACAAGTGAAGGCCCAGCTGGTTCAAGCTCAGGTCCCCAAACAGGTCATACCCTGCCCAACCAGCAAAGCTTTTCTCCAGTTAGGTTTCAAACCAGGATGAATGGCTGAGGTTCCTATTTAACATATCAAAGCAGATGCTGGCAGGCAGGTTCTCCCAGCAGTCCCCTGGTCCCTACCTGTTACAGGGCCCTCCTGGCTGGCATACCCCCACCCTAAACTTCTCCAGCTCAGGGACTGGGCTGCTATTCCCACTTTGATTACCTGCTGTGTATGGTGGGCCTTCTGGCTGCTGCACCTGGTTCTCATCTCTCCCTCTTCCTTTCCTCCCCGCCCCCACATGGCCCAGCTCAGCGTCTGCACACTCTGGGAGCAGTCATGCTCCCTTTCTTTTCTTCCTTCACTTTCCTCACACCCAGCCTTGCCTGCAGGCCCGCGAGCTCTCCCTAGCAATGCTCTAAAGTCTCCTGGGATGACTCAGGGCAGAAAGCGGATCCTTTCCTGTGGGACAGAACCGTGAAGATGTCTGCCTGCAGAGTCCTTAACCTCCATCCCCTCAACAAACAGCCTCCTACTTACTCTGAAGCGCCTTCCCATCCCAACTATTATAGGCAGGATCACCTGACGTCCTTTCAGCCAGCATACACCTATTCCCCCCCCAGACAGTCAATCAGGGGTCCTGAACCTTAAAAATCCCCTCACCTCAACCTCTGTTATGATAAAAACCCCACCCCAACTGGGCATTGATGGGGCACGCCTTTAATCACACACGCATTAAAAAAAAATAGATGGGATGGTCCAACCTGGAGCTTGATTAAAGGCTTTTTTCCCCTGTCTTTCGAGATGTGGTTTCTTTGTAGCTTTGAAACCTATTCTGGAACTAGCTCTTGTAGCCCAGGCTGGCCTCGAACTCACTGAGATCTGTCTGCCTCTGCCTCCCGAGCGCTGGGATTAAAGGCGTGCACCACCACAGACCGGCTAAAGGCTCTTTGCACTTTTGCATAGGAGTGCAGACTCTATGGTGGTTTGCGGGGGAGGGGGGGTCCCCAGGATCTGGACCTAACATTCCCTCTCATCTCCAGTTAATGTGTTCACTGAAAGACATATTAGCTGGCTCCAGATCTTGCTGAGGTGAACTCTGGATTTGGGGTGAACCCTGCCCTTCCCCTGTGGCACTGGGTTTAGAAAAGCAGGCCGATTTCACCCTTACCTGGAGGCAGGGTCACCTAAATTGAAGCTTCTCACAACCATTCCATCCCTGAGCACTAAGGGACTGATCCATGGACATTCGGAACCAGGCCTCGAGTCCTCTGGATCAGTCTCTTCTCTTTCTTGATGTTGCAAACGGAAACGGGGGCCTCACACATCTTAGGCACGCAGTATCATTGCGCCTCTATCTCCAACCGAATCTTCAATTAATAAAATGGAACTCGTAAGAATCAAGTAATGAACCCAGCTGCTGCTCCTAGCACACAGCACATGGAGCAGCTCTCCACTCTCACGGGCACCCTATTCAGACGCGGAGTCCCTAGCTAACAGGTGCCTGGATCTCACCTGAGGAAGTGAGTTTACAACAAATAGGAAACCGGGGGCCACGACAATCTGCTCCCCGCTCGCCAGGGAATCGGAGAGCCCGACGGCGTTAAGCTTCAGCGGGGGAAACCACTCCCATCCCTCGAAAGGTGTGACACGCCTACTGCTCCCACATGGGCCCTGCTTTCTTCCGAGTCCTCGCCCGCCCGCCATGCTACTGTTTGAATCCGTCCACGGGGTTGGTCACAAGGCAGTTCCTCACCAGTGGCCCTCTGGAACCCTCGTCAGGGACCTCTCACAGTTCCGCACCATCACACCCTGCCTACCTTACTGGGAAGCCAGGGCAGACTGGGAAGTCAAGGGCAGGGAAGATGCTTCCGGGTGGTGCACAGAGGGGGGGAGGCCAGGGGTCGAATTCAGCTTTGTAACTTAGGGGGAAGTACTCGATCTCGTGGGCCTGGGTTTTCTATTCTGTTAAAACAAGGGTACTGGTTGGAGGATGATTACAGGGCTTCCCAACTCCGACCGTTATTGGAGCCGGCCGCGGCATTCCCGGCCTCCCTCCCCAGCCGACCGACCGACCGACCTCAGTCCCCTCCCCCGCCCTCTCGGGCCACGCGTCCAAGGTTCTGCGAAGCACGTTCTCCCCTACCCTGGAAGGCCGGGTGGGGGGAGCCCCGCCTGGGAGTCGGGCCGCCAGCTCCAGGCCGAGACCTAGGTGCCCGAAACCCACAGCGCGCACACACGGGCGCGTGATCCCGCCTGCCGATTAGTCAGCAGTTGTTCCAGGCCGGGATCCCTTTCCCCCGCCCCCCCCCCCAGCCCTCCCGCCAGCCTCCGTCTCCCTCCAGGACAGACTCTTCGGAGACGGTCCCTAGAGCCAGCGGGCGTAACCATTCCAACCCCCGAGCCTCGTGCAGAGGCTCCCTGGGGTTTGTTGGGGACACTCGCTCACGAGCGCGCAGGCCGCTGAGGTGTTTTTTTCTTAACCCGCGCGTCACGTCCGGCTCTTTGGAGAGGATTGGGTCGACGGTTTCAGGCGCCAAGGACCGGCTTATCACTGGCTCAAACCTCCTTGCCCACCCCCGCGGCCTGGCCCTATGGTAGCGTCCGAGGTTGCGGATTTCGCGCCTGCGCAGTGCGGCGCCTAGGGGGACCGCGAGAGGGAGACGGACGTTGAGAGAACGAGGAGGAAGGCGAGAAAATGGCGTCCACGGGTAAGTGGAGTGGGATCGCGGTCGCGCTGGCGACGGCTGGGACACCCAAACTCGGCGGCGCTCGTCTCTGGGGGTGGCAGGGATGACTGAGTGGAGCTGCCGAGAGGGGTTGGAGTTCCCGCCGCCACCCGACGAGCTCGGGGGTCCCCCGTTCCCTTCCCCCCCCGCCCCTCCCCCACCAGGCGGGCTGGTTCTGGAACCTTCCGGCGCCCGCGTTGCGCGCGAGGGCCTCGCGGTAGCTGGGGCGTGCGGGGCCCGCCTTGGCCTCCTTTGTGTGGCGGTTGTCGGTGCGGGTGCCCCGGGCCTCCCGCCACGTGGGCGGGGCCTACGGCCTCCGAGGCCCAGAGGGGACCGCGGCTGGGCCTCGGGCCCATCACCCCGAAGGCGCGTGAGGTGGGGTGTCGGGTAGCGGCTCGAGAAGCCGCGGCCGGTGGCCCCGGTAACCTCTCCTCCCGCTGCCAGCCTAAGGGTGTTTCTTGAATAGAAACTCAGATTCAAAACAAGCAAACAAAAAGGCGTCGCAAGTGTCTGAGCTGAGGGGCGCCGGCTTATGAGTGGGAGCCCCATTATCCTCCAGGCCTGACTCGGCGCACCCGGCAGGGCTCAGATGTTTAAAGCCCGCTCGGCCTTTAGACCTAGTGGGTCCCACAGATCCTTTCGGAGGCATCGATTTGATCATGTGTTACCCCACTACCTTCCCTAATCCAAAAAGCAGTGGCTTCCCGGGGTCCCTTGCTCAGCAAGCGTTTGGCGCGGGCATCGGTTGTATAACCAGGCCCGTCTGGATTCGGGGAGCAGACTCTTAACCAGAAGGGTTTAGCGTTTTTGATCCAGGAGAAACAGAAAGCCTCACCCAGCACGTTTCTGTAGACCTGCTCGTTAAACCAGCAGGCTTCTTTCTTGCTCCTGTCGAGGCCAGGGAAAGAAGACGGACTTTGAAAGTGGGCGGCTAGGAGCTCGGGGACGCGATGAGTGTTGTGGTCCTTAATGAGCGCGTGAGTGTAGCCTAGGCTTCACCAGCAGTTTGGTGCACAGTTAACTGGCACAGTGGCGATCTTTTTTTGGTCTGGAGGAATTAGGGGTCTGATATGTGGCCTTGGAGACAGTAGGAGAAATCGAAGTGGAAGACAGGAGAAGCTCTGGGTCCTTTGTGCTTGGGAAAAGTTCCAGCATCCCAGTTTGGCGATGCCAACGATGTAAGTCAGTAAACAGGTAAATGCTGGCTTTTGATGCCAGGCTACCAAGAGTGTCCCGAAGAGAAAGACTGAGAAGCTAGTACATTCTGGTGGGAAATGATTTCGGCAGTGAGCCTTCCTTCTACGCTTCTCTTATCCGCTAAAGCCCAAGAAGGCAATTGCAGATTTTTGCTTGGTAGATCATTGACACTTTTTAGTCATTTGTGTTTAAATCCTTTTTGCTGAAGACTGCCACGAACCATATTCGAGTTAGAAACCATGCTCTGGGGCTCAGTGAAATGGCTCAGTGCTTAAGAGCACTGACTGCTCCTCCAGAGGACCCAGGTTCAATTCCCAGCACCCACATGGCAGCTCGCAGGTGTCTGTAACTCCAGTTCCAGAGACTCTGACATCGTTATTATACCAATGTGCATGAAATAAAGTTAAATAAAGTTTTTTAAAAAGCCATGCTCTGCTATATCCATAGTCCTGCCCTTGCTGAGGGAACTTATTTAGGACTTAGTGTCCTTTCCTGAAAAATAGTTTAGCTAAAGTTTTCTTGATGCCTGGTGGTGGTGGCACAGAGGTAGCAGATCAAGGCCAACCTGGTCTTACAGAGTGAGTTCCAGGATAGCCAGGGCTACACAGAGGAACCTTGTCTTGGGGGGAGAGGGAGTTTCTTGAGCTCTTCAGTCCTTAAAGCTTTTGGGTACCAGGAAATCTCCCTTGCTGACTTTAATACATTATGTAGCCTAAACCTCCAAATCTCTACAGCTTGGCTAATGACTACCCTCAGTTGTAAGCCGCTGCCTTAGGGAATAATGGTTTTCCCCCTCGTCTACATCTTGTGG